TTGCCTGCTGTTGATATGTTTCCACCTGCTGCTCCCGTTGCTCCTGCCACGCCCGCTTCTGCTCCTGCCGCTCCTGCTGCTGCTCCTTCCAGGCCCCTGCCTGCTACTGCTTTTAGGATTCCCCGTCTTGTTCGTGCTCCTACTGCGCCTGCTGCTGCTCCCGCCGCTTCTGCCGCACCCGCTGCTGCTCCTACTGCGCTTGCTGCTGCTCCCGCCGCTTCTGCCATGCCCGCTGCTGCTCCTGCCGCTCCTGCTGCTGCTCCTTCCAGGCCCTTGCCTGCTACTGCTTTTAGGATTCCCCGTCTTGCTTCGTGCTCGTGCTGCGTTCGCTGCTGCACACGCTGCCGCTCCTACTGCGCTTGCTGCTGCTCCCGCTGCTGCTCCTGCCGCTCCCGCTGCTGCTCCTGCCGCTCCTACTGCGCCTGCTGCTGCTCCCTCCGCTTCTGCCGTGCCCGCTGCAGCTCCAGTGTTCCCGCCTGCAGCAGCTTCAGTCGTCTACCTGAACGATGTCGACATGGCCTCCACTGACGATGTTGTGTCTGTTTCTTTTAGGGTTCCTGCTGCTCCCGCCGCTCCTGCCGTGCCCGCTGCAGCTCCAGTGTTCCCGCCTGCAGCAGCTTCAGTCGTCTATCCCAACGATGTCGACATGGCCTCCACTGATGATGTTGTGTCTGTTTCTTTTAGGGTTCCTGCTGCTCCGCCGCTCCTGCCGTGCCCGCTGCAGCTCCAGTGTTCCCGCCTGCAGCAGCTTCAGTCGTCTATCCCAACGATGTGACATGGCCTCCATGATGATGTTTTCTGCTTCTTTTAGGGTTCCTGCTGCTCCGCTCCTGCCGTGCCCGTGCAGCTCAGTGTTCCGCCTGCAGCAGCTTCAGTGTCTATCCCAACGATGTCGACATGGCCTCCACTGATGATGTGTGTCTGTTTCTTTTAGGGTTCCTGCTGCTCGCCGTCCTGGCCTTCGCTGCTGCTCCTTTCACGCCCCTGCCTGCTACTGCTTTTAGGATTCCTCATCTCGTTCGTGCTCCTGCTACGCCGCTGCCTGCCCGCCGCCTTCTATGCCCCGTTCCCTCTCGCCAGGCGCCAAGCCCTCTGCCTCCTCCTACTGTTTCCCTCTTTGCTGCTCCTGCACGCCCCTGCCTTCTGCTCCTGCTTTGCCCCGCTCTGCTCCTTCTGTTAGGTACCCTGTGCTGTTCCTCGTCTGCGTCCCTGTTACGACCCAGCTCGTTTGGGGTGAGGGAAGTAAAAATAAAACCAAGATGTAAAATGGAATAATTAAGTAATGTTTAATTAACAGGAATGTAAAGGTAAAACAAAACCTAAAAAAAAATACAGAGACAACTAAGCTAAGAAACAGAACAACAGAATTAACAGAGTTTTGTGCCAGAAAAGGGGTCAGCAGGCTTACCAAACGAGTGGTAAAACTAGGACACACACTAAACTAAACACAAGTTCCCCAAATTAAACACATAAACCCAAAACAGAATCGAGTGACCAAATCAAAAAAGGCACAAAACAGAAACTAGACTAACACACAAACACAAACAAAATGGCAGACTGGCCACCAAGACCAGCAGCCCGAACAGGTGCTGGCAATCTTCTTAAATAGGGGGTGGCTGCAGGTGAGGTGGGCGTCGACTTGCCCACAATCACGACCAGGATTCTGCCAGGAATTAGGAGAACTTCACAAAAATCACACAGCGAATTAACCTAAGCTGGGGCGTAACCCCTCCCTTAAGTTACAAATAGGTTTGTACTAAAAGACGAAGTTATACTTACTAGGGAGCAGGTGACTGGAAGGTGGAAGGAAAAGGCAGGGCATAAGCCAAGGGCGATAGGTACCAGGTTGCAGTTCAAGTAGCAGCGTTAGCTATTCACTACCCAATGAGATGGACGAGGAGCATAGGAACAAGCCCAACCCAAGGAATCTGGAAAATGAGGGGCTCGGAAGGTGGTGTGTGAGGGTGATCAGGCGGACACAACCAACATGGAGCACACTCAAACAGACACACATGACTGGCACAACATTAGCCCAGGCAAAATTGCAGCCGTTCCACCACCCAATCACCATATACAAGCACCAAATTGAAATTTTGAAAACCCATTGAAAAAAACTTACCTAATAACAAACCTATTAATCATTATCAATTTATTGAGTGGGAATGGGTATTACGATCCCGGAGAGCCCCAATTTTGTTACGACCCCTCGTTGGGGTGAGGGAAGTACAAAAAAAACCAAGATGTAAATGGAATAAATTAAGTAATGTTTAATTAACAGGAATGTAAAGGTAATTAACAAAACACTAAAAAATACAGAAGAACCTAAGCTAAGACAGAAACAGAATTAACAGAGTTTTGTGCCAGAAAAGGGGTCACGCAGGCTTAACAAAACGAGTGGTAAACTTAGGGACACACTAACTAAAACACAAGTTCCCAAATTAAACACATAAACCCACAAACAGAATCGAGTGCAAATCAAAAAAGGGCACAGAACAGACTAACACACAACACAAAACCAAAATGGCAGACTGGCCACCAGACCAGCAGCCCGAACAGGTGCTGGCAATCTTCTTAAATAGGGAGGTGGCTGCAGGTGAGGTGGGCGTCGATTGCCCACCAATCACGGACCAGGATTCCTGCAGCAGGAATTAGGAGACTTCACAAATCACACAGCGAATTAACCTAAGGCTGGGGCCGTAACAGTCCCAGGTACTGGCCGGCCGTTCCTGCCATGCCCCCGCCTGCCGCTCCTGCCACGCCCCCGCCTGCCGCTCCTGCCACGCCCCCGCCTGCCGCTCCTGCCTCGCCCTTGCCTGCTGCTCTTCTTGCTTCTCTTGCCACAGCTTGCACATCCTTCTTGTCTTGGCTTTTCTCTTTTCTGAAGCAATAGTCCTTCCTTCTCCCTCTACTTTCGCTCTCTTTCTGTCTCCCTCCTCCTCTCTCGCTCTCTCTCCTGCTCCTCTCTCCCTGGCTCTCTCTCCTCCTCCTCTGTTTCTCTCCTCCTCCTCCTCTCTTCTCTCTCTCTCTCTCTCTCCTCCTCCTCCTCTCATGCACTCTCGTTCTCTCTTCCCCTGTTCTCTCTCCTCTCTCTCCTCCTTTCCCTCTCTCCTCCCCCTTCTCTCTCTCCCCTCCTCTCTCTCTCCTCCTCTCGCTCTCTGTCCTCCTCTCTCTCTCTCTCTCCTCCTCCTCCTCTCACGCACTCTCGTTCTCTCTCCCCTCTCTCTCTCTCCCCTCCTCTCTTTCTCTCCCCCTCCTCTCTCTCTCTCTCTCTCCTCTCTCCTCCTCTCTCCTCCTCTCTCCTCTCTCTCTCTCCTCCTCTCTCTCTCTCCTCTCTCTCTCTCTCTCTCTCTCTCTCTCTCTCTCTCTCTCTCCTCTCTCTGTCTTTCTCTCTCTTCTGTCTCTCTCCTCTCTCCTCTCTCTTTCTCTTTCCTCCCGTCCTGTCCGGTCCTGTCGTCTCCTTTTTCCTCCCCTCCTTGAGTCGTCACCTTACCGTGGTGGAGGGGTTTTGGAGCCTCAATGATCCCAGGAGCCGTGCTGCTGGGGGACGGCTCACACCAAGAGCGGCTCTCTCTCTCCTCCTTCTCTCTCTCTCCTCCTCTCTCCTCCTCCTCTCCTGTTCTCTCTCTCTCTCTCTCCTCTTCTCTCCTGTTCTCTCTCTCCTCTCCTCTATTCACATGTATGACGTAACAAGAAACGATAAAATCCAAGTCAGTGTTTGCAGTTTGACAGCGAGCGAGAGACGAGGGGATGAAGAGAGAGAGACAGACGTGATGAAGAAGCACAGACAGAACCCACACCAGAAAACCAAAAAAAAAAAAACAAAAAAAAAAAAAAACGACCCCACCCCACCACCCCTCTGCCATAAATAAAATCTGAAACTAAACTTGATGATTTTCATTTTTCATTCACGTGAAAATGAAATGATGAAATTTGAAGTGTTTGGGTGAGAAAAGAACAGTTACATGAATCTGATATCAGCAATAAAAAAGTATCCGTACTCTACCTCAGGAGGTCCTGGTTTAGTCCTGGTTTAGACCTGGTTTAAGTCCTGGTTCAGTCCTGGTTCAGTCCTGGTTTAGTCCTGGTTCAGTCCTCAGTTCAGTCCTGGTTTAGTCCTGGTTCAGTCCTGGTTCAGTCCTGGTTCAGTCCTCAGTTCAGTCCTGGTTTAGTCCTGGTTTAGTCCTGGTTCAGTCCTCAGTTCAGTCCTGGTTTAGTCCTGGTTCAGTCCTCAGTTAGTCCTAGTCCTGGTTTAGTCCTGGTTCAGTCCTGGTTCAGTCCTCAGTTCAGTCCTGGTTTAGTCCTGGTTCAGTCCTGGTTCAGTCCTGGTTCAGTCCTCAGTTCAGTCCTCGGTTTAGTCCTGGTTTAGTCCTGGTTCAGTCCTCAGTTCAGTCCTGGTTTAGTCCTGGTTCAGTCCTGGTTCAGTCCTCAGTTCAGTCCTGGTATAGTCCTGGTTTAGTCCTGGTTCAGTCCTCCTGGTTCAGTCCTGGTTTAGTCCTGGTTCAGTTCTGGTTTCTGTGTTCTGCGTTCTGGAGAACACAACTTCACGGCAACCGGGTGGAGAGTTTGGTAAAGTTATGTTCTGTTGTTTATGCTGTAGTTATCTGAAGAACTGTTCATATGTGACGTTAACATATTAACGCCTGTTCAGCCTGTTGTTCTTTATTCTATTGTTATTTTTTCTGTACCTTGCCTTTGAAGATGAAATGTTGGTTCCTGGTCCCTGATTTTATAAAATACATTTCCCCCAATAAGTGCGACGTACAGTCCAGTGCGACTTATATATGTTTTATTCTTCATCATTACACATTTTTTGGCTGGTGCGATTTATATTCTAGATTTTCACCTCCTGCCCCTCATCTCTTCTCTCTTTTCCCCTCCCCACTCCTCACTCCTTCCTCTCCTCACCTCTCTTCCAACGCCCCTCCTCACCTCCTCATTTCTTCCTTTCCTCCTCGTGTCTTCTCCTCCTCCCCTCCGATTCCTTTCTTTCTCTTCTCCTCCTTCTCCTCCCTTCCTCACTTCTTCCTCTCCCCACCTCTCTTCCCTTTTCCCCTCATCCACTCCTCACTTCTGCCTCTCCACTTCTACTCTTTTCTTCCTCCTCCTCCTCTCTTAGTGTAGTTACGTTTTTACCTCCAGAAGGTTTTATGAGATCAAATTATTTTAGATGTTTGTAACCCGCCTGGTTAAAGGCCAAATAATATTAAATTTATGTTGAAGCACTGTTTTAATTCACATTTTCATATGTAACTGGGTTTTACTTTGAAAATCGTAAGTTTATTTTGACGGGAAACAGGAAGTAGTATGCAGATATGCAGATAGCTCAACTTTGCTCACTGATGCACAGAGCATGGCCTTTTCTCTCACTTGTTGGGTGAAAAAAATCTGTTTAGTGGGTGGGAGAACCGTCAATGAAGTACTTTTATTTTGCTGAATCACCCCTGAGTTATCTTCTTGGTAAGCTAGCACTCACATGTTCTTACAGACTGTATGTATTATGATGCCCCCTTTTTAGGGCATGCTAGCTCATAATTTTTGGGTATATTACACATTTTAAGTTAAGTTTGTGAGGAAATATATTGTTAAAAGTGTTTAATTCATTATTTAAGAAAGAAATTCATGATGATACACTCTGTGTCATTAAAGGTGCAGTGTGTATATTTTATATTGCATAAGAAACTAGTCACACTTGCTCAATGTGACTGTGAGTCAAAGGAGAAAGCATTTTAAGATAAAATTGTCATTTTAAGTTATCAAAAATGGTTAAAAATATTGTCAATTAAAAAACAATGAAATTTATTTCTTTTATTTACAATCTAAAAATCTTATCTCAAAAAGGGATTGCAGAGTGATACGCATACAAAAATATGATATACGCATTACACAGTACAAGTGAATGTGTTTTTCATGAGTGAATCCATTGGTAAAATGTGATTATATCATTACAATTCATCGTTGTTACTATGGTTTGAAACGATATGAGCCACCCATTTGGGAAATAACTGTAGTTAGTTACTGCAGTTGATAAGATAAATTTCTGTTGTACAACATCTATGTAAAGATCTTTATGTGAATCTAATTGCAATTGCATTTGAGAAATCGAACTATAAAACCTGTTTTGCAAACACAGGTCAGGTTTTTTGACTACATGGAAAAGTGATCCCAGTCTTGGCATCCAATGAGTTTGCTGAGAAGATCCATTGATGGCGAGCCTCCAAGCCGAATCGTGAGCCTCTACTACCCATACAGCGGACCCTGTGGTAGGACTGTGCCAATTCCACTGATCGACACTCACGAGAGCTACTTTGGATACGTTCCATGACTTGACTATTTCCCTGACTTATTTGACTTGAACACTGAAGTTGCAAGGCAACACTCCCGGGAAGAACATTCTAAAAAAGATGTTTTATTTTAGTTTATTTTGGCCCATAGGTTGTAATTGTAATGTGCATTTCTTATTATTTTCTAACTAAAAGTTACATTTAATTACAATTACCTGTGTCATTGGTTATTGCTACATTCTCAGCTCCTACGAACCTAGAGGTCGAGACGTGTACATACCTTGAAGTGGGTTACATGTTAATTTTAAAATAATTGTCCACAGGTGGATGAGAGTACAGAGGTGCAGAGTGGGCAACAGGAGGAGGCGGACGCGCGGGGGGAGACTGTAACCGGTGCCCCGCTCCCGTCACAAAACACCGACAGCGCAGATGAGGGGAGCGCAGAGGGGGACAGTGAGCAGTGTGAGGACGGAGAGGACAGGGATGAGGAAGACAGGAGGCGGGGCCAGAAGAGCCCTCTCCTTACTCTATTAAAGACCTCCTGGACGTCTCCCTCGGGAGGTGTTCTGGGCATGTCCCATTGGGAGGAGACCCCGGGGAAGACCCAGGACACGCTGGAGGGACTATGTTTCTCGGCTGGCCTGGGAACGCCTTGGGGTTCCCCCAGAAGAGCTGGAAGAAGTGTGCATGGAAAGGGAAGTCTGGGAGTCCCTGCTTAGACTGCTGCCTCCGCGACCCGGCCCCGGATAAGCGGAAGAAAATGGAATGGAATGAGTTTTTGGATGTTACGTATGGCAACAAATCAGTTAATGTGCAAGACTTCTTCCCCGATGTTGATGGCTTCATTAATTCAGTTAGGAAATTAAAGAGGCAGGTGGGTGTCGATCAGTTAAGCCAAAAGAAAAGGTACAGGTTGGCAAAGCTTGTAGGAAGGATCAACAAGGGCAAAAAAGGATCAGGGACCACTAAATAGGAATAATGGGTGGTACACATTGGTGTCTCTCTCTCTCAGCTTGTGTTCATTTACTGTTCTCTTTGTTTTCTGTTTCCTTTTTCCTATGGAGAGCCTCAGAATAGGAACTTTGAACATTAATGGAGGCAGGAATCAAGAGAAGCAAGCAGCAGTGGCAAAGATGGGCAAACTTAAACACATTGATGTGTTACTCTTACAGGAGACACATAGCACAGGGGACAATGAGACAGACTGGAGCAGGGTTTGGTCAGGGCCCATGTTCATGAGCCATGGGTCTAATGTAAGTGCAGGAGTAGCAGTGCTCTTATCTGAACGGCTGAGGCTGAGTAATGCCCCTCACCTAGAAGTGGAGGGGGGCAGGCTGCAGGTGGTACAGGGGACAAAGGGGGGCACACTTTGTGTTCATAAACATCTATGCACACAACTCACCTGTAAGCCGGACACAGCTAGTGCACACTCTGAACAGGCAGCTCAAAGGTTTTAACAGTGAGTCTGTGATATTAGTGGGCGGGGACTGGAATTGTACAACACACCCTCATGATAGGAACACGGCAGAGCCCCATCCAAGCTCTGCCGCTCTGCTGGCCAGTGTGCTGAGGGAGAATGACCTCATGAACACATGGAGACATGCCCCTACTGGCGATTTAATGTAAGGTTACTGCAGGATAGTGGCTTCATCCAGGCTTTCAGGGAGCTCTGGGAGCAGTGGAGGCATAGGAAGACAGACTTTTGAAAACATACTAAAGTGGTGGGAGGTGGGGAAGACTCAAATAAAACTTTTTGTCCATCAGTATACACAACACTCAGAGAGGGAAGGGCTGGAGCATTTGGAGAGGGAAGTGTCTCTCCTGGAGCAGGGGCTGATCAGGGGCGCAGAGAGAGAGAGAAAAGGGGGCACTAGTTAAGGCTAAAGTTGTTGCACTGCGTGATATTGATGCCCCTACATGCCACTTTTTTAATTTAGAAAAGAAAGGCAGAGCAGGGAGCAATCTTATGCACCTTAAATCGGCTAATGGGGAGGTCACCTCTGACCCATCACTAATGGAGCAGGAGGCCATAACCTTCTACTCCGAATTGTTTGCGGCTGGTCAGTGTGACGGGGAGAGCCAGGGGCAGATGGTGGACGGGTTGCCTGAGCTGGAGGAGGCTGAGGCAGCAGCTCTGGCCTCGCCAGTCACTCAAGAGGAGGTGACCTCTGCAGTGCAGCAGCTCAGTTGTGGCCGAGCCCCGGGGATTGATGGGCTGCATCCAGAGTTTTATAAGAGTTTCTGGTCTGTGCTGGGGGAGGATGTGCACAGTGTTTTTACATCAGCTCTGGATCTGGGTCAGCTCCCACGCAGTTGTACCAGAGCGGTCCTGGCCCTATTGCCCAAGAAAGGTGACCTGACATTACTAAAGAACTGGAGGCCAGTCTCTCTGCTCTACACAGACACCCGGGTCCCGGCGACGACTGTCCTGGGTCTCGGCGACGACTGTCCCGGCCCCAGCAGCGGTAGTGACAGCCCCGTGTCCCGGCGGCGGGTCTGTCAGTGTGTCCGCTCTTTGGTTCTCTTCTCGCCATTTCCTGTGTGGAGCTTTAGGCTGAAGTAGCAGCTGCCGCTAATCGTGAAGCTGCTACGAGTTGACGCAGCAGGTTGACGTGAGTGACAGGACAGTTGTCCAATCAGACTACACTAAAACTGAGACTGTGATGTCATTGGTCTGGGCGCTAAAGTTTGTGCCCACAGCCCGAAGTGAAATGCATAAATCGGGGCCACTGACACCGTCTGTACGGAGTTTAGGGAGACGGGCCAGTCCTAGATCGCGATGGGCCCTCAAAGTTCCGTGGGCCCCAGTGCATCGCACCGCCTGCATCGCCAAATGCTACACGTCTGGACAAAATAATACATTCAAATTAGGGAGTCTAGTCCTATAGCTCTGAATGACAGCACATGTTTTCCACCTGCTGTTTGGGATTTAAACAAAGGAATACATGACAAATATACTGGACAAAATGGTGAGTTTTGATTCATTATTAACACATTTCTTTACAGATAAATATAATATTTTTCTCTGTTGTTTTAAGTGTCCAAAACCAGGCAGACGTGATCCTGCAGAAAGAGAGGAGGAAGGGAAAAATGTCAGAGTGACAAAAACAATATACAGTACAGGTAAGTTTTTATATTGATTGTATTAAATTATTGAAGCACAGTGCATTTATTTGTCTGTTTTTCTTCCAGTGAGATGGAACTTTGCAGTGCAGAGTGTGGAGAGGAGGAGTGGAGGAGGAGGAGGCTTATATCCGTATTGTCATACAAAATACAGGTACACTGGAGACAACTATGAATTGTATTTGTCCCTCCTCCAACTATATTGTATATCTGTCTTTTTTTCATAGGCACAGAAATGGGAGACATGTCAAAGCAAAGAAGTCAATGTGAAAAGAAACCAAGGGATTCAGTGGGACATACGTACTCACATACCTCATGTTCCCAGATTCTACCTGGGTCCAGGCTGGGTCAGGCGGACTGCTGAGGTCTTGAAGCGGGACCATCAAGCTCAAGAGACAAAGCACCATGGCCTGTGTGCTCCACGCTTCTACATACAGTATTTACTCTGTCCTTGCTCTTTGCAGCAAGTACTCAATTATTATTATTATTTTTTTTGAGCTCCAACACCAGCCAGATGTGATCCTACAGAAAGAGAGGAGGAGGGAAAAACAGTGACACTGACACAAGCAACTAAAATACAGTACAGGTAAGTTTTTATATTGATAAGTGTTGAATTTTTGAAGAACTGTTTCATTTATTTGTCTATTTTGCTTACAGTGAGATGGAATTTTACAGTGCAGACTGGAGAGGAGTGGAGGAGGAGGTTTATATCTATATTGTCATACAAAATACAGATACACTGGAGACCATCAAGCTCAAGAGACAAAGCACCATGGCGTCACAGTTCTACATACAGTATTTACTCTGTCCTTGCCCTTTGCAGCAACTACCCAAAACCATCTATGGTATACTATTCACTGTGTTTGGAATACTTAGATTTTACTATTGAATCTATAGCAGCCAGCTATTAGCAAAAAGTGTGACCAAAATAATACATTAAAATTAGGGAACATAGACACTCCTGTAGGTGCTCCACCTGCTGTTTGGAATAAAGGAACACATGACGACATATAATGGACAAAATGGTGAGTACTGATTCATTATTAACACCAATACTTTACAAATAAATTAACATTTTTATTCATTTTATTTTATTTTATTTATTTATTTATTTTTGAGCTTCCAACACCAGGCAGATGTGATCATATAGAAAGAGAGGAGGAGGGAAAAACGGTGAAAAAGACAAAAACAACTAATATACAGTACAGGTAAATTTTTATATTGATAAGTACTGAATTATTAAAGAACAGTTTCATTTATTTGTCTGTTTTTCTTACAGTGACATGGAACTTTGCAGTGCAGACTGTGGAGAGGAGGAGTGGAGGAGGAGGCTTATATCCATATTGTCATACAAAATACAGGTACACTGGAGACAACAATGAATTGCACTTGTCCCTCCTCCAACTATATTGTACATTTGTGTTTGTTTTTCATAGGGACAGAAATGGGAGACATGTCAAAAGAAAACACCATGTGTGGCTCCTTTGGGTATTTTGGGATTTCAAGGGGAATCAAGGTACACACAGGTCCTGGTGTTCTGTTCCCAGAGTTTACCCTTGTACAGTGCATTTATTTTTCTGTATTTCATCCAGTGAAATGGAACTTTTGAGTGTGGAGAGGAGAAGTGGCAGAGGAAGCTAATAGCCACATTGTCATACAAAGTAGGACTGCTGAGGTCCTGAGGTGGGACTGTCCTGCGACCAGCTCAGAAGGCAAAGCACCATGGCCTGTGTGCTCCGTGTTTCTCCATGACGACCTGAGTGCTGTCCACCAACCTGTAGCAATGCCTCTGATGTCCCATGTCCCTTTTCTTTTGAGCTTCCAACACAGAAAAGGCCAGAAGTAAATGGGAGACATGTCAAAAAGTAGTCAATGTCAAAAGAAAACAGAAGCCTTACAGTATATGTGTCTGTTTTGGATATTTGGGGGAAGTCTAGGTATGCAGAAGGCCCTGCGTTCCGGAGTCCGCCATGAGGTCCAGGCTGGCGAAACTGTCGTGTGACCAACTCACAGCAGGTAAGTTTTTTTAAATATTTATAGTATTGAAGTACAGTACATTTATTTGTCTGGTTTTCTTCCAATTAGATGGAACTGTGGAGAGGAGGAGTGGAAGAGGAGGCTTATATCCAGGGACAGAAATGGAAGGCTGTTTTGCTGGTGGCCTAACCACTGCCAGACGTGTCAGTGATATTCATCCTTTATCAGTGCGTCCGTCTTGTATGCGATTCAGCACAGATAATTTCAGAGTGACCATTTGTGATACATTTGTGTTTGTGTCATAGGGACAGAAATGGGAGACATCTCAAAGCGGAGAAGTGAATGTCAAAAGAAAACCGGGAAAACATGGATTGGGAAAAAAAGGTTCTCCATGTTGGGCATTAAGAGTAAAACATCCAGTTAGTGTCGAACAAGAGAGAAGGGCAAGAAAACCATGAAAGATAGACTTTTTTCATCAGATTTAGAATTTTAAATGCTGGTGAATTTCTCACTTTTTTAACCATGAAAAAACATGAATTATTTTTATTCTGAAGTTGCTGAATTTTGCAGTTAACATTTTCCATGTGCTTAAAAATTCAAAATAAAAACCTATTAATTACTTATTTTCAAGCCCTCAGTCTAAATTCAGAGTTTAAAATGTGCTGTGAAAAAAATAAAATAAACGTAGGCTATTTCCTATTGGGAAATGAAAACTAATTTTCATTATCAAACAAATTGTCTTCCATAGAAAACATATAGGTAATTTACAATAATTCGAAATAAAAAAATCTTTGTAAGCTAAGATTACCAAGTATTGGTCAATGATGTTTATGTCTCTATATATCTCTTATATATTTAGAGGTACTCAATTGGTGGACTGTTATCCGGATCCGGATGCAATGACATTCGGACTGAGACAAAAATCTGTCTTTCTAGCCTTTTCTTTTTTTCACGCGATATTTCATTGTCATGTGCTGTTTGCATGTGTTTCCCTATCAAAAAAAAAAAAAGCATTATGAAGAAGAAAAAAAACATAAGTTGCACTGGACTATGAGTCGCACTTTTTTGGGGAAATGTACTTAAAATCAGAGACCAAGCACTAGAGCCTGACCGATATATCAGTTGGCTGATATTATCGGCCGATATGGGCACCTGGAGGCATATTCTTGCTGATAGGGGCCGATATTTCACGTGGGCATGTTATACCTCATTATAAAGCTTAGACTCTCTACATTATGTTCATTTAATCCAATTTACAGACAGATAAATGTCCAAATATGTGGCTTCACATCAGTATTTATCTGTGGAGTCATTTGTCTGTGTGCGTGTGTGTTCGTACTGTCCCTGAACACACCACAGAGTCGTGTCACACGTGTGTTTGTTTACACTCGCAGATCCAAACACAGATTATTTTCTTTTTACGGACAATCGGTTTGAGTCTGGATTAAAAGGACATTTATTAGTGCAGACTTGTGATGTGAGAGGAGCCTGTATGAGCGGTGAGTGTTGGAAATATGTCGACTCTGAAGCTAGTTTTGGTCATTTGTTATGGGTTAGCTGCTGTAGCTCTCACATAACTCATAAACAGACTGTTTTCTATTGGTCTATTGTAAAGTGACTATATTGGCCGTATCTTTGTTACTGGACCTGCACTGATATGCAAATGAGCTGTGAATAGACGTGTGCGCATATAATTAATTACCGCGGCGCGCACGCATTTACGGCTAAAGGCTAATAGCGCTAGTTTCTTTACTAGTTATGGGTCCGTCGTGAACGAAGCGGCTCAGAGCCGGCTCTTTGAAGCGAACGGCGGGAGCCTGATCCTTATTAGGAGCCGTGTTTTCTCTTTCTCTCACTTTTTTTCTCTTCACGCCGTGTGCAGACTCGTGGTAGTTTGACAGCGGCAGCGGCTGAAAACGAAACTTTTGTGTGTACATAGGATAAAAAAAAAACGAGCATATTTGGCAGTAATTTAGCATAAAATAAATAAACCAGGACTAATCTTGGGCACGAGATAGAGACCAAGTCCCGACACTTAGTCCTGGTTCAGTTTTGGTTTAGTCCTGTTTTACACGTGGTCTAGATCTGTTTTAGTCCTGGTTTAGACCTGGTTCAGTCCTGATTCAGTCCTGCTTGCAACAAAACAATCTGAAGAGCCGCTTAGGAGCCAAAAGAACCACCAGCTTTTAGTGAACCGAGCCAAAAGAGCCGGTTCTCTAAAAAGAACTGGAATACCCATCACTAGTGTCTAAAATGTGATGCAAAAATGCCATTAAGCCAACCTACTGTCTGTAAATATGATGTAAAGAATATGTCAGAAGAAGAATTGTCAGAATAACAATAAATGTTGCCTAAATAAACCCAGTTTAAAATCCACCAGAGCCAAACCTAAGTTTTTTAAACAGTTCAACATTTACAGTGAATTTCTACATCACTAAATATATTGATGATTATATCGGCTATCGGCAGCTCCAACTCCCATTATATCGGTTTCATATCGGCCACAGCAAAATCCATATCGGTCGGGCTCTACAAAGAACACACATTTTATCTTGAGAGGCAAGTTACAGTAATAACAACAGAACAGAGAACAACAGGCCTTTAAAGTAAGATATTAGGTTAGTTTTTAAGTCAGATATTAAGTCATATAACTATATATAGCTATAGCATAAACAACATAACAAGTTTAACTAAATCCACTGAATTCTTCACCCTTAATGTCATTTCTGAGCAACTCCTCAACATCCAGAGGTAAATTATTTTAATAGATCCATGGGTAAACGGGGCGCTGCTTCCTTATCTGTGTATCTACAGTCAGACTCTGCATCAGTTCCAGTTAGAATTATTCCAGCCTTTCTGAATCCCGACAGGATGGTTTTGGTTTTCACTGAAGTCCAGGTTTTATCGATCCATCCAATGACTTCCAGGAAAGTAGCATGGCACATCCTCCGGGTCACCGTGAAGCTCTTACTGTAGTTTTTGCTGACTCTGTTGGGGCTGTGATGTGAGGGGTGTGTTACGTTATGGTCTGACATAGTTCAGAGCCAATAGTGACCAAAATGTCTGTTTCTGGCATTGGTTATAATAGTATAAGCGCTCTTCTTTGGTCAGAACCAAGGAGAACGATTGTGGATAGGTTCGTTCTGTGCACCAAAAGTTTTTACAATGCAACAAAATATTTAAATGAGCTTGAAGCTATTCAAATCTCTATTATTCACAGATAATATAACAGTATATTAGTTTGTCATTTAATTAGGTTAAACAGGAATTTTGTGACGTTTTTAATTTAAGGCCCACCCACAATTTGTCTGGCCCATCCACAACTGGAATCCTGGCTCCATGCCTGGTTTGGATGTGATGTGCCTGTGCAAACGCAGACAGTCTCACTCGGGTGCTAATCATTCCAGTAAATTGTAAAAGTGTTGGTAATTTTAAGGCCTAAACATCTCCAATGTGTTTATAATGTGCTATAAGTACACAGTGTGTCCAGCAGGGGGAGACATTGCATCACAAGTCAGAACTGCTGCTCGATCCCTCACTCGAGTTGATAGAATTGCATCAAAATTATAATTTCACCTCACATTTACAGTTGTGGTAAGAAAAAAAAAAAGAAAAGAAAAAGTCAGAATAGCACAGTCTTGTTATTTTTGTACGAATTTGGGGGCAGACAGTGTCAGCTCAAGTTAACTGGAACATATATCTGAAGTGTGACAGGTTCATTCTAAAACTTGCCCATTGGTTTTAATAGTTCAGACACACAATTAAAAGTAAATAAATAAATAAATGGAAAAAATAAAGGCAAATCAGCAAATTAAACATGGTCGAATGCATGCAAATATAACATAATACAGTATTTAAAATACTTCACATGCTTTCTTCCTCAACAGTTAAACTTAGACTTTTATCTTCAAGAAAAAATACATTAAACATTTTTTGTGTACATTAACAACAAATCAATTATTTTGATTTATTTAACATAACGTTTTGCACATTATATTTTGTGACTATATCTGGCTGCTGTTACATCACCTGTAATTTAATCTTGAGTGTGAGTGTGAGTGTGAGTGTGAGTGTGTGTGTGTGTGTGTGTGTGTGTGTGTGTGCCTGTGTGTAATCAACTTTTCAAAATGTCATTTAAGGTGAAATTAGCAATGCAGAAAAGGAAAGACCTTTAAAGTTTAAGAGACGTTATCCCATCGGGAGCTCTTAATGTTACTTTTAACCACTAGATGGAGCTGTTGTCCAGGCTAAAACATAATGGGGTTCCTGCTGATTCCATAATCTATTATGACTACAGTACCGAACAGTTTTTTGCAATGACCCTTTATATCAAGGGTTCCTAAACTTTTCAGGCCAAAAGGACCCCAAAGACCTGAGACTCACAATTCTGAGTGGGATAACTTGTAATATTAGGTCTAATATAATTTATTTCAGGAATTTATTTGTTATTTGTCCCAATTTCACTAAAATGTTTGCTTGGTGAATCCAAACTAAATCTCTCTATTTTCTTTCTATATCTATCTATTTTTGTACAGATCAATATCAGTCTAGGCTCCACTCCCTCTGTTGCTTCTCAAGACTGGACAAACATGGCTCATCAAACATAGACATCTTATATATTATCAGAATATTTTTATTTTGTATTATATCTCATAGTTTAAAAGCCCCAAATTACACTGTTTTCTCATCTATATTATAATGTAGTTTCCTCATTAAAAACATACCAGGAGTTGTGTTTTGTTTTGTTCTTACGTGTAACACAAAAACCCTGCATAATTAGGCTGAGTTCTTCTCACAAATTCAGGACAGGAAGGAAGTGCTCCACTGTGTTTCAAACTCCATAAACCTTCACCAGACTCATTTGTAGGGTGACCAGATTTTCAGAATTCTAAATTGGGACACACCTGGGTTGGGACAGTTGGTATAAATAAAATAGTGAAAAGAGCGTGTAACATTGTGCATTCTGATGTCAGCCATGATCTGAGGGACTTCTGAAACTGTGTTGTTTTTTTTGCTTTATGGTCACCTGCAAACACGGATTTCTGTATTTTGGCTAAACAAATGACAATTTATGCTCCTGTTTACTGTTGGTAGGGATCAGATTTGTCAAAAATTGTGATAGTCCTGGTTTAGTCCTGACCTGGTTTAAATCAAATTGGTCAAAAATAGGGACACATGGGACATTTTTTGTATAAAACTGGGACAAATCACTAGTTTTTAATAAATCTGATGGGACAGGGACACAGGGCTTCAAACTGGGACTGTCCTGGGTAAATAGTGACGTCTGGTCATTTGGATGATTTCAGCCCTGGAATCTATACGGCCCTATAAAGGCAGAATGCTGTAACATCATGTTTGGTCAAAAATGAGTTAATGTTGTTTTGGGAGTATTTATCATGTGAATAAATATTGTGAAAAATTTTGAGCTCAAAATTGACCTTT